TTTTGAGAACACAAAACAATTTTCTACTAAAGTTTACAAAAATTTGTTTAGTAATTTCAACCAGCTAATTTAACCGTCGGAATGATCGCACCATATTTTTAGCAACTTTACAGATTGCATATTTTCAGGATAAGTTTAATTTAAGCAAAACATTCTTTTAAGTAAATTTAAAAAATTTATTTAAAACATTTTTTCCTTATTTTCCTTGTAGTGGTATTTGTTTTTTTCACTTATTTTGTCTACTAAAAAATTAATTTAACTTGTCGAAAAAGAGAGGAGTTTTGTTTAAAATAATTTTAGTATCTTTTTTACTCATTTTGAATCCGTCTTATCACCTGATATTCTGTCTAACAATGAACATTTTTTACACACTCAAATTTCTCAAAATATTTTTTTTGGAAAATTTACATTACGCCCGAGTGAAATGTCCTTCTTTAACTTGCTTTGAACTAATTGTGATTTGCTATAGAAGTACATCGTGAAATTTATAGTTGCGTAGTTACATAATCCCCAGGATATTATAAATCTGAAATGCCATTTATTTTATTAAGATCAACAAAATAATTACAATTTTAATACAATTTTATTATGAACATAATAACCGCGTTGCTATATACATTGTTCATATTGGAAAATAGTTTAAGATTTAATACAAGTTATAAGGTGTATTAGTTTTATTGATATTTTAGTTAGGTCTAGTTTTCTCACCTTATAATTATTAATTTATGGTTTATGTAATAAAAGAATAATTCGTTCGTGTGATATTAAAAGTTTAATAATTAGAATTCGAAAATATTTTAGCAATAAAATTTTAGTAATAAAAATTAAAAATTTTACAAATTTCATCATTATAGCACAAAATCGAATTAAGTTGTTGCAACAAAAAAAATTCTTTGTTAATAAACATTTGTAATAAGCCAATCCCCTGCATAGTATAAAACAGATTAAAAACAAAACTAAACGTACCGTCTTAAGCAAACGTGATATCGCGTAACAAACGTAAGCACACATACAAGTAATCACCAAGAATTCGTTAAAAGTTCCTGCTATTTGGACAGTATAATATAACCTGAAGGCTGACCGAAGAAGATATATAGTCAGAATAAACTGAAGAAGTCAAAAGAAAAATTATGTAATCTACAACTGATATAGAAGAACAGCCAAATCTCCAAAACAACAAAATCAAGAATATTCCGGTGCTGTGTGAAATTTATTTTGATGTACGGCAATGAAACATGGCTTACATCAATCAATTATTCAAAAGCTGCAAGTTATCAAAAATAAATGCCTCAGAATAATGTGCCGAATATTCTGACGAAAAACCATAATCAATGAGAAACTCTGGGTAATGCCGGACAAGAAACCTTTCGATCCGAAAGAAAAAGTGAAGAGGGATTGAACACACACTAATAATTTTTTCTAGACGGTTTCAAGAATCAAATATTTTTCTCAACTAAATTAATTTTCGCTTAAAAAGTGAACCACACGAGAACATAAAATTTTCAAAAAATCCAATACCATATATTACTAAAAACTAAGGATGTTAAATAATGTAATTTCTATATGCTCGTCAACTTGATGCATCATAAATAATGTGGATGGATAAAAATATAAGAACTTATATTGAAAAGAAACAATGTCGAAGCTTAAAGGTGTAAAGAACGAAAAAATAATTTTATGGTTTTATAAGATTCTCTTAATTGGAAGGAGGGAAAACATTTTTCTATATACATACATAATATTCACCTATATATGTGTGGGTATCAACGTAGTATTTAAGTTTTACGCAAAAATCTCTTGTTTATTTTTCTTATGGAATTTATTATTCCACAAATTTTTCGTTGGTGTATATGTAACGTTTCATAGGTCAAGGATCTTGATGAAACGTTTGCCTTAACGTCTGAAGTAAGGCCACAATTTTCTCGTTTTTACGATATAATATTTCGATGCAAATATGTATGTATAGATGTAGAAAATTTTTATATTTTAATACATTTAATATTTAAGAAAATTTAAATGATAGCTACTTTAAATTTTAAAATTTTTGCAATATTTATATTTAAATAAGACTGTAAATTTATTTACGCAACTGTGTTAGGATAGATATTTTGGTGTACGTTTTAATACTAATTAAAAATTCTCTTCAAAACCATGATTTTAAAAAACATAATTTGTTTGAAATTTTTATTTAAATAAAAGCATAAATTCGCTTTATATAAAACATCCTTCAGCATAAATTCGCTTTATATATAAAATGTCTATAGGTACTAACAATATTATAACCTGACTTATACGCTTAGAAAAAGGAAAAACCTACATACTATCTATTCATAATTATTTAATTCAAGTAAATGAAGTTCGGAGAATCTTATACTCAAGTGATTGATACTATAAAACAAAGTAATGAATTTTAATGAAATTTGATTTGAAACTTAATTTAATTATTTTATTTTTTCTTCAAAAATTTTTGTAATGCCTAGAATTTTCAAAAAAATTACTGTTACGGATTATAGATTGCAAAGAAGGGATTACAATGCACCGCAACCAGCTTGAAGGATCGATTGTGCCCCTTATTTAGGTGTGGGACAAAGCTTTACAACACCCCTTCGAGACCCTTCCTACTGATGAACGCAAGTAACTTTGAAGGAGCGGCAGATCACGTAGTTTCCCAGTACATCCCTTCTCCTGCGGATGAGAGCCCCGAATTCTCCCAGAAGGTGTTCCAAAACCGTATGTGGTCCGGCTCCGCAGAAGAGCTCCAGTTCAAGAAAAGTTGTGCTTATCTCTTTCCTTACCAACGCATCGGCCACCTCATTTGATCATTAAAATAAATTTGTTATCTAAATTCGTTTATCAAAAAAAAATTAAATTAGTAGTAGTAGTAGTAAGAGAGAAGGCCCCTGAACTTTTCCATTTTCTTCAAGAGGTAATGTGAGCACCCCCATCACTCACTAATATACTGAGAGGAACATGTGACCTTGTAGGAATGATTTTCTCACCGCGCTCTGCACGTGCTAGGTTCCAACAAGAAAAGTTTACATTTCTACTAAATAATATTTACAAATTTTATACTTAATTATTAAGAAAGCACAGTGACGTTCGTATTGCTGTCGTTTATTTACGTTTAATTCTTAAGACAATTGCAAAAATTAGTATTTACTATATAGTCAAGATTAAAAATTTAAATTTATCTTTTCTTTATAAACCATCCTACTAAATGAAAATGCATCACTTAATTCTCTTGTTCTTATTCACTTTAAAAATAACTTCTTATGACGTAAATTTTGTATTACAATACTTACATAACTTAAATTAATTTAATACTAAACGCAAATAACAATTTTCAATGTCCATTTAAAGAGAAAAGCTCTTGAAAATAAGTTTAATAATAAAATGTATCCATTACAATTAAATCAATAAGAATTCCCTCGATTTTACGTATTCAATATTGATTTGGGTTAGAATCCTTTATATACCCTTACACGAAAATTATAATATGTTTTTCATTACGAACAAAAATTCATCATGATTACTTTTAACCTTTCCAAAACAAATTAATAAATTACAATATAGAGGATAATTAAATTGCGTTTGTTAATTAAATCACAAAGAAAAAGAGAGAAAAGAAAACCTTTTCAAAATGTTTAGAATTTGCGTTCTATAATGCCGTTAACTAAACCCTTTAAATTAAAATATTATTTTCACAATAAAACATTGAAATTACAAAGGTAACTTTATTTGAAATTTCACATTAAAAAAAAATTAAACATCCTTTTCTTCTTTAGCTTTTTATAAAAGATAACAGATCATTAAGATCCTTTTCTTTATATTATTTTCTTTTCTTAATGGTTTACAAGATTGCCAAAATAACGCTCTTAAAATAAACTTTTATGCTCCGAATTTTACTAGCAAAATGTTTTCATTTCATTTAAGATATCGGCACTTGATGCTATAAACGGTTGAAATTTAATTCGGGAATTAAAGTACCAAAATGTCTTAAATTAAAAAACCATGGTTGTAATCAATTGAAAATAAAGAGCTATGTGTTGCATTAGGAAAAAAAAATTTTTTTAAGCAGATACTTTCATTTTCTTAATGGAAACTGTTTTGGAATTTTAAAATATTCTGGAGTAATTTTATATATTTTGAAATCAAGTGCACCAACTCAGAAGATAATTTCCTACTGAGAGTAGTTTTAACTGAAATTGATTCTTCTTGAATATGTAAATCACATTCGTCTCTTAAATATTTCATTCAGTTTTATTTCTGATAAGAAAACGAAACTACTGACAATAGCTTGCAAATACAGCAAATTTAGAAAATAAATAAATAAATCTCTTAAAATTTAGATATTTTTGCTCAGTAAAAATCCCACAAAATTTTAATATTTAGTAAGACTTTTTCTCGACCCGATTCAAAACTTGGAACATTTATTTTAATCTATGTTAAACAGCAACATTTTCCACAAAAACCTGCTCCTTTTGCGTAAGGCAACTCTTTTATTTTTATTGGAACATTTCATTTCGCTGGCAAATATTTTTTTCTTTTAAATTTATTTATTATAACATTTATATTTCTATATTATTCACTTGATGAGATGGTTTATTTGTTTGATGGTCAAACAGAACAAAAAATTTACTATGTAATTTCCGCCTAAACTTAATCAAAGAAAAAAAAAGGCAAAGTATGAGCAGCAAATATATGTGCTGCAATATATTTTAACTCCTACCATCTATTTTTATCCCCATTTTATTTTCCTTCCGAGAGAGATAAAATTTAATGTCTGATAATTTCAGTTTTAGAATCCATCTAATATAAACCAACTTTTACTGTACCTACATACCTAACAGGTATCTATACATATACATTACGTAGGTATATAACGTATAAGAAAAATAATAAAAATGTTTTCACATTATCAAATCATTAGAAATAAATTTTCTCATATAATATTTTTTATTATTTTTTCATTTTAACTTACATTTAAAATATATTTTCAGAGCTGCTCAACAAGCAGCAGCAGCTGCTTTCAATTCACAAACTACTAGTAGTAGAAGTGGTCCACCACCACTTTTACGTTCAAGGACATTGCCAGCAATTGTAGTACCAGGAATTTCTATACTTCATGCTCAAATTGATTCTAGTAGACTTTCAACAGGTATGTATGCTTTTATACTTTCTTTTCTATATAAATAGGTAATATAAATTTTGAAAAACATAGAACATAAAACAAAAGCCATCCCTCTACAGTGATTAAATTTTATTCGAAGAAAATTTTACAATATGATTTTAATATTTTTCAAGTAAAATAAATGGCCAAATGTATGCATATAAGTATGAAGTATATAACAAAGTATATATTTTAGATTTTAGTATATCAGGTACACTGTACGTCATGTCCCGATACATTTATATCACTGTTGTCATCAATAAAGCTTTTCATGAAATAAGTAGAAATCCATTAACATAATCATTAAATTGTCATTTATTTTGGTGACATTTAAAAAGAATACAAGTAGGTAGGTTAGTTTTTAATGGATACTCTCATTACTCTGGCGGAAGTTTCCCAACATTATACACAGTTTCGTGAGTAAATTGATTTTTTTGGTAAAGAAATTGATGAAATTAAAAAAAAAACTCATTTCTCACTTCGAATTTTAAAATTAAATTTTTTTCTATATTGATCGAGTAATATTGTTTTTTTTTGACATTGACACATAAACGCATCATTAATAATATTTAATGTCATAAAGAATAAATAAAATTGTAAAACAATTTCGAGAGTAGTTTTTTATTCAATATTCGAATTTATATGGGATTTGCGAGTCAATACTAAAATTGTAATATGGAAAATGTATTTTTATTTAAATGACTTTTAATGGTCGTTCTTGAGAAATCTCTTGCTTAAATTCGTATCATATTTTTTGGCATCTTGTGAGGGTAGGGTAAGAATTTTTTAACGATCAATCGCTTAAAAAATTCTTACCCTACCCTCCTCCCCCCTCCCTCATCGTTTTTTATTAGATATAGCATTCGAATTTCATTCTTTATGGATTTGGGTAACCGGAGGTTTTAAAATTTTAAAATTTACAAAAACATTTACCATTTTGCAACTTATACTTCTATCTTAAATCATAAGAGACCAACTGCTAGATATAATTCGACTCCTAGAGGCTATACAGGTGTTCTATCGTCTTGTCTTCCTTCACAGTGCGCCAAAAAAACCATACTCTCCAAATTAACCTTCCTTTTATTGTGAGCATCAGCGAAAAAATTAGTGCACTTTTAATCAGAATTTTTTAAATTTCAATTCCCAGATTCGATTCATTTTGAAAAATAATTCCCAAAGTGACTTTTTGTATTCTGAAATTTTAAATTCAATATTAGTACAAGTAATGTCCCTTTATTCTTAATATTTATTCTTTTTTTTTTTTTTTTAATGTTTTATTTATTTTTTTCTTTTTTTTATAATAGTACAATTCAAAACAAAACTAAAGAATATTTTTTTTATAATTATTAATTTAAATGTGCAATGGCCCAAGAGGCTCTCCCATTTATAAAAATATGTTTTTAAAAGCTAATAATTCATTTTTTGTTAATATATTTAATTTACAAATTTTATGTACAAAATGTTAGAATTCATTGAATTCAGATATTATTTATTTAGTGTTGCTAAAAAGTTTTCATAAAAAAGCAACTTTTATAATATAATGTTTAATAACTAAAATAAACTTACCCTAAACTTACATATACTAGAATAAAATTATCTTATACCTAACTTACTCTAATTTCTCCAAAAATATGTTTTATTATAATTAATAAGTTTGTTTAAATTTGGAATATATTTGTCATATTTAAAATATTCATTATTTTCTAAGCTAAGGTTATTTAAATCTAAAGGTATTTTTTTATTTGCTGCATTTCTAATGTAATGGTAAAGTATTGGAATATAATTAGAGCAATTTTCTAAATAATTATTTTCATCTAAAAACAAGAAAGTCTCTGGTGGAATGAAACCAGAACCCAATGTAGATCTTATGTAATCCACGTCAGGAAACCATGCATGGTTTATTAGTGAGTTGTTTGTTATCTGAGTACTTCTTAGAATGTGGTTACGTATCAGTTGTAAGATAAAATTATCTATTCTCATAATATTTGCACTATCATAAAGAGTTTTGTTGGAGTAGTATTGAATATAATTTGACTCAGGCGTTCTGTTCAGACCCGTGCAAGCTCTTAAACAGTTACGCTCAAACAATCTAAATTTTTCCATTGTTGAAGCACTTATGTTAAACCAAATTGGGCAACCATATGTAAGAATAGGTCTAATAAAGCTCATGTAGCAAATAATTTTCACTCTATTACAGAGAACCTTCGAATAGAACAACTTAGCTAAACTCATAAATGCCTTACTAGCTTTAGATAATTGATTCTGACAATGCGTATTAAACTTGTATAAATAGTGGTAATTAACCCCTAAGTATTTGAAGGATTTACAATTTTTTATATAAGTATTATCTGGAGCCTTTAAGAAAACGTTTTTCCAATTCCTTCTAATTTTGGAGTTTGCCTTGTTTGTAGTATTTCTAAAAAGAACGGTTACACACTTATTGTAATTGATTTTTAATTTCCAGTCATTGCAGTATGAGACAACTTTGTCAAACAGTTTTTGCAGCATATATCGTGCAATATTTGGATCGTGATTCACTGAGTAAATTGCTAGGTCATCCGCGAAAGCTATACTGTGATTTAGCCCTAAACTGTTGTTTAGGGAATCCAGTAGTCCGCATGAAAATATATTAAATAAAATGGGTGAGTTTACAGTGCCCTGCTGGAGACCGCTTAAAACTGCAAACTCTTTTGAGTACTTTCCTCTACTGGAAACTACTCTAAAAGTTTTATTGCGAATCATATTGTTTATTAATATGATCAGGTATAAGGGAAAACCATATCTTATTAATTTATATATTAGGCCATCCAACCAAACCGTGTCGAAGGCTTTTTCCAGGTCCACGAAACATGCCGCCACGCATTTCTGATCGTTAATATGCCAACAAATATCAGAAGACAATTTAGTCATTGCATGGATTGTACTATGTCTGTTTCTGAAGCCGAATTGATTCATAGGTATTACATTCCTTCTTTCAGATTCCTCAGTTAGGTATTTATTTATTATTACTTCAAAAACCTTACTTATATTAGGTAAGAGACTTATTGGTCTGAAACTACTAGGATCGGTAGAAATTTTACCCGGTTTCTTTATTGTTACAACCTTTGCTTTTTTCCATATTTCAGGGAAATAACTGAGATTCAGACAGTTGTTAAAAATAATAGAATATTTCTCAATTATTGAATCAGGCAGGTTTTTTAATACCAAATTAGGTATTCCGTCAATTCCCGAAGAGATTTTGCCTTTCAGACCAGAAAATATTGATTTTAAGTCCTCTAAAGTTGTGAAATAATTGTCTTTGTTTTGCAAACTGGAAATTTCATTTGATTTTAATTCGTTATTGAATTCGACTAGTGATATTTCATTGCATTCGTACTCCTGCGTTATTGTATTGAAATTAGAAATCGCAGAGTCAACTTTATTAGCAATCGCAGAATTTCTATAGGCAGTTTCGCGATGTACTAATGACAAATGTGATGCCATAGTATTTAATAAATCATCAGTATTTTCAATTATAAAATTACCACCATGTTTTTCCAATAAATTCAGATTAACACCAGCATTAACTAATATATTAGTATTATCGTTAGGGATAATTAATTTTTTTAAGTTTTCACAATTATATTTTTTATAAATTTTTCTAATTTCAGGAAACATACTTTTACTGTTACTGCTTTTAATATTTTTTATTCTGTTTTTCCAGTAATTACTAATCGAAATTTTCAAATTTTCTTTAATCAAAATACTAACATTTTTAAGAAGTGCTCTAGTTCTTATAATTGCTTGATGATTTCTATCTGGAAGATTTTTAAGTAAGGCATATTTTGCAGATAGCAATTGACTTTTATATTTTCTTAATCTACACAAAATGGCATTGGAGTACAAATCGGTACCGTTATTTCCCGGATTGAAAACAGGAATCTCAATTCGAATGGCATTTTGAATTATTTGCTCTATTTTGTTTAAAAACATATTTATTTCGGATTTTGTTAAATTTTTGTTATTAGGTAATTCCCTAATATCATTGTTTAGTAGTACTTGTTTATCTATATTTTTTTTAAATTTGTGCCAATTCACCCTATTGTATAGATAATGATTATGAACTTCTGGAAGTTCAAACAAGAATTTCTCAAAATCTTCGTAGGAGATTTCAGTGTTTATAGCCAAGTGGTCGCTGTCATAAATTAGCGTTTCTAATTTCCCCATAGTAGATGTTTTTAAGTTAAGTCTAGCATCAGCCAGTATCAAGTCCAAAAATGAATTACTTTTAGGAAAAGAAGGTAAATCTGAAGCATATAAAGCCATTCTATATAAAATTTTTTTTTCGTCGAGAAATTTTTTTAAGAATTTTCCACGGGCATTATGTTGTAAATTACCCCAATCTTGATGTTTTGCATTAATATCTCCACAAATCACATAATAATTATTATATTTGTCAAAACCTAAAATTTCAAGCATTCTGCAAAATTCATTTTGAAAAGTTTCGGTATTTCTAAGAGATGCATAAACTGATACAATAAATAGAAAATTATTGTTTTGTATAGGTATTTTTATTGCACAAACCTCCAGACATTGAAACAACGTAAAATTAGAATTATCAATTTGCTCAAATCTTATGTTTTTTTTAACAAGTAAAGCAGTACCACCTCCTATATTAACTGTTGGTCTATCATGTCTAACTATTTCGTAATTTCTTAAAGATAAACGTATATTGGCATCAAGTTTGGTTTCACATAAAGCAACAACATCTGGATTATTTTTAGAAAGAAAGTCAATCAACGAAAATTGTTTTGCAAGCGATCGACATGAATTTACGTTAATAGAATTTAACTTAATATTATGTTTATTTGGAGTTGTTTTAGTCATGGATATTCTCCATAAGAAAATCTACTCTCTCAGAAATTCCATTAACCTTTTTATCTAATTGATTAAAGCGTTCACATAAAGTGGTGAAATTTTGATTTAAACCTGTTAAAATTAACATAACA